GGTGTGTTCTACGGTGGCTGGCTCATTGATCGATACGGTGGATACATTGGTGTTGAACGGCGTGCCAAAGCCCTTTCGTTTTAAGCTACAACTGTACGCTTTTTCAGGAGCATTGTGCAGACTGTCAAAAGCAGTATACATCACACAAAAAGCAAAGATGATAATGGTGGACATGTCGAATTGCTTTTGAGCAATTTTTTGGAATCATACAGAGGAAGATTTTCTTGTTCTTGACCCGAATTCGGTACGTCACCGTAGACATGGTCTGGCGTTCACACCATGAGCCATTAAAAAGTGGAAGTTTGAAATATAACGTGCCATGCATGTTTTTCATTGTGGAGCATTGGTGAGTCATTAACGCATCGCTGCTCGAAGTTAAAGCGGAACCGAAGCGTTTTTGCCGTGGGTATGAAACCTTTGATAGAAGACACGAAAGTGTCCGAACCATAAGTTTCGATGTCGCTGAGTTTCTTGAAGGAAGTTCGAAAGGCAGAAGCGGCACTGAGACGTCTCTCAATTTAGGAAACCTAATTGCGCTCGATGTCGCAGTCCTCAGCTTCTACCATTTGACTACAGCTGTCAGCTAGGGTCTCTATGCTAGAGCCGGCGGAGAGAAGTATGAGCTACTGTGTATTGTGGATCCTTCCACCAAAGTTGGTCACGACGAGAGACTTTTAAGAGCAAGAAGACGAGCCAGAATCTCGCATTCTCTCAAGATGAAATGATATTGCGGAGCTAGCACGTGCATACCCTGCATACCAGAAACACTACTCAATATTTGTCGCGAGTAACGGAGTTGTTCATGTTGCAAGTACCTCTGGGAAAGTTCTAATTGAACTTGAGATATTTGGTAAGCTTGCTGAAAATATTAAAACTGAGAGGTCATCAAAATAATGTGGTTACCGGAGTCATTTGTCGCAGAATGAGTCCTTGACTAAGAAATTTCAAAGAGCAATGAGTGTGTGGTGTGAGAAAACTATTCTCGATAAACCTACAGATTTTTTTTCTGCTTTCGCTGTAGGACCCCACGGCGTGGCGACAAACGACCGACCACGCGTGTTTCTCCCGGATCGGATATCGGGTCATATTATGGACGTAGTCCCCGAAGCCAAATACTGCGTCATGCGTCAATTCCTACGAACAAGGTCAAAAGCATCATAGACGTTTTTGACTGAGCGAGAAAAGTGCTCGGCACTGACTGTTGTAAGAGGCCAATGGCAAATGGGTGATAAGGCATGCTTTTAATGAGCAAGGACAGCCTTGATTTAGCCAAACGTTGTTTTCTAGGATGGATGTACTGAAGAAAAGCATCAACGAGTGCACTTTGTTTGGTGCCATTGACCAAGATGATAATCACAATTCATTGCTCTTGCATGACTGCGAAATTATTCTTAATGCAGCGATTCCCCGAGCGGGGTGCTGTGGAAGTGGCTGATTGCGTTTGGGAGCTGTAATGAACTAGTGACGTAAAATCGTTCGGTTTTGCAGCTATTTAGACCACATTGTGCCTATGCACATACCTATTTGACCGTACTAACGTCTACGTACGCGCATACCATTACTATAAAGCACATGCAAGCAATGCTCGAGCGTATGCGTAATTAAGATGTTGGTGAACATACAAACTTGTGTCTTTGGCATTAACGTAACGATTGTTCGTTGCTTAGCATCATTGATGATCAATTCCACAATAATAAAAACATCGACTTTTGTCGACGCCACTGCCCCAAAAGGACATAAATGAGGATCTGCCAGTTATAATACCGCGCAAGTAAATTGACAAATTATGCTGACATGACACCTTCCAAATCACTTTATAATAAATGACAAAAAGTGCATAGGCTCGGCTGAGAAGACAACCATCAAGGCGGCTGAGGAGCCATCATATGACCCGATTTTGACCCTTTCGAATCGGAGACGGTCATTTCATTACGTCTTGAACGCTACAGCTTTTGCTATAATTTTTCTTGATTCCAAACAAATACCTATAAGTATAAAAGCACGATCGCAATTCAGTCTAACCAGCTCAAAAGCAACAGCGAAAAACGTTACACTTCATCCCAAATAGTCACTTACTACAAAGTATGCTCCTGTCAAATTCAGAAAGCACCTGCTCTAGGCCATTTTTGATTTTTAAACCTCATACATCGTTGCGCACAGTGACATAGCTGCCAAACTCTTGCAGAAATCGGCAAGATGTGTTTTGCTTTTTTTACGAACATCCTTTGAAAGTAAGGTATAAATCCGGTCGCTGTATCTGGTGGTGGATGCGCTTTTGCGTCGCCCAAACTATGAATTATCGCATGTCGTAATGATGACGTCCCCATTTGATGAGGCGATGCTTACAGCGTACTACACAGATGCAAGATATTCTTCATTATCGATAGCTTTGCGAATCTATCGCTTTATGAGGTCTAACGCCGCTTTATCAACGGTTTGACGCTACATTGGCAATTTTTCTCTGTCGTAACGCTTGCTGCATTTCAGCATTGTCCACTCAGCACACATCGCGTCTCGGTAACCCACGATAATAAGATACAGTGCCGACGCATACGATATTCCTTTGGGCGGCCAACCCAAACGCAAGAATATATTCTGCCTATCGAGCTTTATGTGTTGGAATACCGGCGTTCTGAACTTCGTGAACCACCTGAAATCAATGGCTTAACTTGCAGATATCAGTAATGCCACTATCAGTGAAAATACAGCCAAGCACTTCCTCGTTCAATTTTTTTTACCAAAATAGGTTGCTAGTAACCAATACTTCGGATCGACATCCGAGCTATACAACGAAACTTCGGGGAACTTTACTTAGGGTGTGATGTATCAGATTGGCATATTTAATTGCTGACCATCCGCAGCGTAAGAATAGACTGACCGTATTACTTGTGTGGTGGAGACGGTCCCTAAGGAATCGCCGCGAAATCATCGTGGAGGAAAAGCACTTTGCTCTTATCCAGTGTATTTTCTCAAACAACTTAATGAATACCTATACAGGCTACAAACTGTTTCTTTCAGAGATAGTTTGGATATTCTACAAATATTTTTCACACCGTGACGAGGTTACTCCGGTCTTGTTGTAGGAGGGGTCTTGACTCACGCATATCACGCTCTCGAACACGATCGAGAATGTTTTTCTTAATTTGATTAAGCGTACTTCACATCATGTGCAGAACTAACATGCTGACGCTAAAGGCAGATAAAATATAATCGAAATTGCAGTGGGTGCAACAATTGTATCGACGGCCACTTGAACTACGAAGATTGTATTCCAAAATACAATTTTACATGATCATAGCCAGAACAAATTGAGCTACGCGCATGACACATCGAAGAGATTGCAAATAAATTCACATCATTCAACAATTTTATTTGATTGAACCTAGCCAAATGCGAAGCGCCTGTTGAAGATGGAGTAACATTTCAACCACCCGTTGTGACAATCCGGTTTTGAATTGCATGGGATGCCCCAAGCCACTCCGAAGAAACTGCGTAACTCATGATGCATGTCTAAACTCAGTTTCACCCACACGCCAAGATTCTCGGAGAGACTCGACGTGACAATATGAAAAGCGCTTACAAAACCAGTTACGCCCCGTCAGTGCAGCTCGAGAGAATGATTTATTCAAGTATCGAATGGATTGTGGGTCCGCAAATTCACCAGGGCTATAACTCGTTGTATTGCTGAAATGAGAAGATATCTTCATTCCAATAGTCATGAGATTTGATGCCTTCTATATCAAGATTGCCCCAATGCCGTTGACGCACATGAAAAAGGCGCATCCTCCGTCTTTATCTCCGGGGATAGAGTCAGTATTAATCAAAGAGGGTCTTTTTATAATTAGCAAGCGAAGCCTGGCAAGGCAGGGGGGGGTTATTGACGGCATGAGCTTAAAGTGGTAAGCACCTATATCGACGTCCACGGTGTGCTTTGGACTTTGCAAGGTCAACAATTATAATACGTTTTTATCTTACATCTGTTTACATTAGGCTGGAAGGTACAGATGTAAGACAAGTGAGATGACGTGCCTTCTAGGGCTAAAACTAGCGAGATGAATCGTTCCCCCTTCAAAAACGGAGCCACTTCATACCATCACGAAGAATCCGAAGTTTAGCCAAACCATCAAGAGAAAACGTAATAAAACATGTAGCGATAGGCATTACGTTGTTTAAAGCAACACTAGTGAGTGGGAGCATCTTGCTCCAATCCCGTTGTCTCATCGTACAGTGCCTCGTAGATTATCGTTCACATCTCAATTGATGCAGACATTATGATTAATCGCCAAGAATCTTGCACAAAGTTTGCCAAAGCTGAGCTGTATAGTTCGGGTCTCGGTCTAAGAGATTGGCTACTGGCCAGTCATGTCAGCAAATATTTTGCTTAGAATAGCTCGTTGAATCCCCACCGGTAACGGTGTCGCTGATATGAGCGAGATAGACTGCTTCGCCCAAACGGTCCACAGGCAACGATCCTAGTACTACCAAACGCATATTGTGGTACACCGAAAACAACACCCATGGTGTACGGTCATCCACACTTGATTCCTCGTGTTCTGTACAATCATGAGCAATATATCTACAGCGGGGCTACCGTAGCTCTTTGCATAGAGGAAGCTAAGCTTAGGTCACCGACCTTACGTTCTTTCAAGAACCAGTACGAGTGTAGCGGATCACAGTCCGTTACCTCCAAGAGTACTAAATACATTGACCAAGGTAAAGACGCTCTTCCGTTCAAGATTGTAACTGCATTTAATTGTTTTAGTTGCGGCAGAGCCGCCAATATCTATAACCTTAGGTTTTCCAAATTTATTTAGTAATACCGAATTAATATAGTAAGACCTTATTAATTTGCATTACTACTGGCAATCCTGCCACAAAGTGGCTTTTTGTTACGGTATAGCCACACCATTGTGTAATTACAACAACGTGTGTATCCACACCTATGAACGGTCACACCATCTTGTGTGACCCGCCCTTTCATAAAAGCGTACGTATAAATCCGTAAAACTATCCCCCATTAAAATCGTAAATACCCACAATTCACGTTTAACTGTTGCCTTATACGAGGACCGCGTGTCTGGGACACCGTTACATTCTCTCAAACATCCATGAACATTCTCCGCTCAATGAGCCCTACAATGATCTCGAGCGTGCCAGCGGGCAGAATCTTTCTTCGTCTTCCGCGCGGAGTGCATCTCCGGATAGTACGTATGCGCTTTCGCGGGAAGCACATCCCAAATCCTCGGTAACTGGGCGACGGATTTTCTCTTCGAGGATTTGGAGGAAGTCGATCATGAGTCGGATACTCCTTTCCTAGCATGGGTAGAGGAGGAGGATGAGGTGCATCAACGGCGCGACTTGAGCCCTGCTCGAACCTTGCGGACACCGTGTCCGTTCCCCGACCTCTCGACTCCGAGGAAGTGGTATTGTAACCAATCGCCTCGACGAGACACAGGAGCAGCAGTTGGAAGCTGCCCACAGGGCGGCTCTCATGCGCTCGTATCCTCGTTCGGTCATAGGCTCTCGTGTGGCGCTCGGTGGATTCCACTACTGAAGCGAAAGACGCAATCATTCGATCGTTAGGCGTCTACGTGATCGAACCCCTGGCCACTACACAAGCTGAGCTTGACCAGCGGAAAGCTCTCCGAGCTTGCTTCTTGGCGCCCCAAGAAATCCCAATGAATCGGTATCGCGCTCGACTTCGAGCTATAAGAGGAGGCGCTCCTGTACCCGCAATGCGGACTTTCCTGTGGTGCTCGCCCCTGGCAGAACCGCTGCATATGATGAGGGGCTCTTTGAGCGATGGGTCCAGCGGCACCGAAATCTTTCCTCGCTGCCTACCCTACAGCGAAGCCACAAGGAAGTGGGCGTCCGCGTACAGCGCCATCTTGGATTTGAGTTCGCCAAACTCAAGGCGCTACACCGTCTTCCTCCGTATTGTCGCCCTGCAACACATGGAATCGTCAATCACGCTCCAGCTCTGTGGTTTTTTTACGAGTGAGTCTACGACCACAGCAGCTCAGGGCTATAGCTTGAACTCAGTATATGGGTCCCCAGTTTTCCAGGCTGCTGCCGAGAAGCGCAGGGCGCACGACGACGCGAGCGTCATGATCCTCCTGATCATAAGCGTCTACGACGTCTGGACAGTCTGGCACCTCAAACTCCCACGAGTCTCAGAATTTGGGCGTCCCCGCCACTTCAAAGTGATAAAAGCATAGTGTAATCACGTAGGTCGCGCCAATATGAGATACAATATACATCATCGGATTGTCTTGCGACCGGAACACTGGAAAGTTTGAAATTTGATAAATTTGACAGCGTAGAAAATTGCTAGGTCTGCACCTTGTCAAATTTATAGTGCCATGAGGTTTGAATTGACTGGAAGTCGTAAATATAAGGTGCCATGCATCTCTTTTTCACTGTAGCTTTCGCTAGTTTTGCTAGTTATAATCCCATAGCATTGTGATGCAGAAGCGCTTTAGCCCTAGCGATGCCGCGATAGCCAAGGTGCAGACATGGTGTTGTCTGAATTGTTGAAAAAAATGTTGGTGAGTTTTTCGAGGATAAGACGGGAAATACTGCAGACCAGACTTCCTGATAAAACCTTGCGATGACCAGAGTGTGCATCTAGTACGCATTTTATCGTGGCGGTAAGCTGGGGGTACCGGATGATAATTTGCTGGGATAGACAGTCTCAAGGCAGCTTTAATGACGCAGTCTACCAGGAGCTTGATGCGCAGACCAAATACAAGGTTCAAGACGGAAGAGAAGAATAGTCCGATTCAGTGTAGACGCGCAACTAGAGCTCCAGGTAGTTGTCACTGACAAGATAATTTTCAAAGTGATGGTGTAACGGGGTTACACGAACCCCAATAACAGGGGTGTATGCGTGTCACACGAGATGTGCAAAATGTGACCACACACCCAAACAAGAATACGGGACCGGGCTAGGTAGCCAGTAGTTATGGATGTATTTCGATTTTACTATATACAATTAGTATATTTAGGAAAATTCAAACTTTTAAAATTAGGATAAAATATATATATAAAATTCAGTTTCGATTCTGAACAGAAGTGTTCATTTGCCTTGGTTAAAGCGTTTAAGTTCTTTTAAAGGCAGCGGATTGCAGTACTTGGTTCTTGTAAAGAACAAAAGGTCGGTGACCTAAAGACGCTTCCTTAAGCGCAAAGCTACGGCAGCCCCACTGCGCTGGGTAGCACTTGTAGTCAATCTACACCTGAGTCGTTTTGACGGATCCTCTGTGAGGATGGAGGAGTTCTCCTCTTTGCCCCAGGGCATGCAGGACGGGATTAACAAGCTGATTTCCTTGCTTGCCCCTAAGGGCGTGCAACATCTTGCTGCGCAAGGCCCTGAGGCAATT